ACTTGCAGCCATATATGTACCGCGTACAAATGTCGTACAGTAAAGTTCTACTTCCGGGCGAGACCTTGAACGCCTCTCGTTACAATGCATCCTAATTTGTCTATAGTTTGATGGTCGAATAAATCTTTCATGGTGCCCCAATGACCCCATGAGGTTAGGATGAGATGGTGACAAGTGGTTAGACGGCTCCTGCACGTTTTGTGTCTGCACTGCACTATTACCAAGATCGTCGTCCCTTGTCTAACAGCCTGACGATTTCACACTGACTGCGCATACTTTAAAGGCAGTGTGCGTCAGAGGTGACCACACTGTGTCGTTCTGGCGTCACAATACGCGAGCATAGTCACGTAGTCATTTAGGCCATGTTGACTTGATTATATGGATGACATCCGCGGGCGCATGAATTTTCGGCCGTTTCAAAAAAAGTTTTCATCCATACTGTAAATCATACTAAACAATTGCAAAATGAGCAAATATAAAACGTAAGTTGCAAAAAAATATTGGAAAAACGATAACAACGTCAAAATCAAACGAAAAAGGAGAAATTGTAAAGAAATGAATTTGAAGACTAGATAATTCGCCATACCATACTCTGTGTCATTTGTTCAACCTTCATAACCACGTATATTTCATAATGAAAGCAACATTTTTTTTGCCAAACTCTTTTTATTCGCACGCGCGCATCAGTTTTGGGGTTCCCAGAGGATGTCATCCATATAATCAAATCCACATGGCCTTAGTTCCAGCGGGCGCTGGTGTTATTTAGACTCAAAATTTATCCACACCTAAATTAATGCATATTGATGCATAGCTTGAAACATATAAATTCACTCAAAATTATAGTTCATACGAGCAGACCGTATGCAAATGTCATGATGACCTGATGACCTCCCTGACGCGTGTCATGAAGTCCTTCCTGACAAGTGCCCTTCCATATCAAAGACATGGTGCTATTGGCGTGTACGCCAGAGGCGCCAGAGGTGACATTTAAACAATCTACACCAGGTTCCAAAGTGGACGGACAGGTATGTCTAATTGAGCTCAAGAGATTTCGTGCCAGGTACAGTACTGTACTGTACATATGTCGCCAAGATTATCGTCCATTTTCCTATACAAGTGGGGACGTATTTGCCGTACATACTCTAGACCGCCGAGGTGAACATGCCGAGGTGAACATCAAGTTGCTGTGGATACTACTAGATACTACTAGTGGATACTACTGTGGATACTACTAGATACTACTAGTAGTTATAGTCGATCCACGCTGTAAAATAAGGTCGATGACATTGCGTTGGTAGTTGTTAATTATCTTCGCTCAAAGGTTATGTTTTCGGTAGTGTGTGTAGGTTTGTTTTTGTGTTTGTAGTTTTGTTTGTGTTTGTGGTTTTGCTGACTCAAGGAAAGATTGCAATAATAACGTACTTGGATAGGTCAAGGACATCATAGAGTCTATATAATGTCCTTTCTGTGGCCTTGAACGATCAAAGAAAAAGTTACGTGTAACTGCCTCTTCGACTTTGTACCCCATCGAATTCGACGTTGGTCTTATAAACATCTTCTCTTTTTCGCAATGCAGATAACCATGTCGTCAGTCACTGGGTTTCTCGTCTGCCTACTTGTCATCTCGACCCGGCTGGTGTCAGTAGAGGCGCAGTGCAGCGGCTACAAATGCTGTGATGAGGGGGATAAGAGCTGCGTCAGAATAACAGACGATGGCAAGCCGTGTTATTGTGAGCCTGACTGTTTGTACCGGGAGGACTGCTGTCCGGACTACCAGAAAACCTGTGGTGAGTTACAGAATCTTCTCTACCTCTTCTCCCACACGGAGCGCTGATGTACACAAAATGCAGTTTACAATCTACATATATACAATATTGGTTATTTTTCTGACTATTGAGTAGTTCACTCTTCGGCATACTCATGCAGCATGCTACATGCCATAGGCCATGACGAATCGTCAAATAATCTAAATGTAGCCCAACCGACCAATATAGCAATGTGGCTCTGCTTTTATGATATATATTGTGTATGTATAATTTTGATGTATTCGAAAAAATGCCCAAATGGTACAATGATATGCATGCTATCCACAGTATTACTGAACGGCGCGGAAACGCGTTACCCCGGCGACAAATTCGTCACAACCTCGATACTTGAAGCTATGACTCGTGTGGACACGGTGATTAACAGGACCAAGCAGATGCACGATGATCCGAACAGGTAAGAAGGAAGAGGAGTATGCTTCGCCATCAAGGGGCAAATGGGACTACGGGGTGTAAACAGTTTAAACATGGAAGAGCATGATGCTTCAGGTTCATGTTCAAGTGTTAATGACATTATACATTAATTTTATCACCTCTTTACCACGACAACGTGTGTACGGGGCATGAACATGATTTTGTCGGTCCGGCATGTGATGTGTGATGGTGCTGTGTGTTTGCCCATAGCGCACCGTTCTCATACGAGGCAATGAGTCATAGCAACTTCAGCCTAGCGACAAGGTGTTTGATCTATTGCAGTAGCGACCTATTCAAAGAAAATCATATTTCCATCTGTTTTTGGGTAATTTTCAGAGAAGTGACGCCAGAAGACTTCCTGGACCTGTTCCGCCAGATGAGTCCGGGCGCCCAGCGGGAGGCACGGGCGGCTCAGATTTTTGAGATTACCCTTCAGCTGGTGGCAGAGAAGGTCAAGGCTAACCTTAGGATTAGGAAGATGTTCGGAGGTAGGATTCTTCCTACAGCTAGAATTCTAGGTGGTGGGTGGAAATTTAAAAGTAAAAGGTAGGTAGGTACCTACATAGGACGATGACAAATTTGGTCTCTAGCTATCAAACACTTTTTGACACCAACGTCATGTGCAAGAGGCGATTACTTATTCCTCTATTCTACTCCAAAACAAAATAAAATCACTTAAAATATGTTTTCCAGACATTCCTTCCATCAGCGAGATGATCTCTCAGGAGCAGCTCAACAAAATCGCCT